CAGCCAAAGCCACCGGGGGCACTGACGAAGGAACCACCGACGGCAGGAGCAAAGGCAGCAACACAAACCGGCCCGATGAGCCACCACGCCCACCCTCCTCCACCACCGCCACCAGCGACGGCGGAGCAAGCACAGTCTGTGAGCCAGGATCCGCAAGTTGTGTAGGTAACGGTTGTTTTCTAGGTCGCCCTCGCTTCGGTCTTTGTTGTTGTGCGCAAGGTGGAAGTATGTGACGTGGTGTGTGTTGTTTGATGCGTGCGTTCAGGTGCTGAACAGTCCTATCAACATACCGACTAGCGCATTGTCGGCATTCAAAGTTGTAAATAAGATGACTAAGGTGAAGGGCTGGTAGGACATCCTTCCGCACCGTAAACGCACGCATCTTCGTAAAAACTGGCACAAAGTGTACTGCATAGTATGTTCGACGAACAACGGACTTGACTGCACTACAAACTTTAGTCGACTCCTGTCCTTTCCAAGGCAAACATAAATAGACGGGACAACGAGCAGGACCAAACAAAGGAGCCTTAGTAGTTTGTGCGACTTTCAGCAACTTCTGCAACAAAAACTCAGGGTACCCGTTCTAAACGAAAACTGACCGGAGAAAGTCAAGCTCTTCCTGCAGCTTGCAGGACGAACAAATACGCTTCGCACGGTCTACAAGGTTACGCACTAAGTTTACTTTATATTGAGACGAACAATAAGAGTCATATTCAATGTACTGACCAGTAAACGTCGGCTTACGATAAACGGTTGTCAGAACGTCACTACTCGTTTTTTTCCACCAGCACATCTAGAAATGACAACTTGTTGGACTGTTCATGCTCACATGTGAAACGAAGGGCAGGGTGAATACCATTTAACACGTCAAGAAACTCGTTACTACGCTCCTCATTATCAAAATATGTGAATGAGTCGTCCACGAAATTTTGTTGAACGAAAACTCAACACCAGTTGTGACCAGCAACAGCAACCGTCTAAACGCACTTTCAGATATCCAAGGAGTGTCAACGTAATCATTACGGTACAAAACATCCATGCAGATGTCGACAGTTTCTTCAATCGGCACATTAGTAAATAAACTGACGATGTCAAACGAACACATGTGTGCGTTGGGTGGTACAGGCTTGTTGCGGAGCTTTTCGACGAAATCAAAACTGTCTTTTACAGTGCGCTTGCAATAGTGGTCCTGCACTGGTTGTAAGTAAATACACAGCCACTTGGAAATAGAATACTGAGGCGAGGCCGTCATAGAAACGATGGGACGTACTGGACATGTGGGCTTGTGTATTTTGGTAAGCCATATAGCCTAGGCCGGAGCGTGCCTGTCGGTTTAATGCGATCGAAATCTTTGTAGGATATTTCTCCGTCGGCTTTCAGTTTCTTTAGGTAAGCTACTAGTTCTTTTTCTACTTTCTCTGTTCGATCAAAACTTTCAACCGGGCCGATGGTCTGGAACTTTGATGTGTCATTTAGGATGACAGACATCTTGTCTATGTAATCAGTTCTGAGCATCAGAACTGTAGCCCGCCCTTTGTCCGGGCGCGTGACGATGATTTCAGTGTTTTTGCGGAAGTCATGCAGGGCTTTCATGTGTTCCTGGCCTAAGGAAAATGATCGCTTGTCTGGAAGTTTGTCCGCATGCTCCTCAGCCTCAGCTCAGATCTTTGCTGCGCATATTGATTGTTGGGCCTCTGATATTGGCGTAAAGCGTAATAACTTTCGATAAAACAATTCGAACTCGGTCATGATAACTTCCTTTTTATTTGATGATGGGGGAACGCCAAAATCAGTGCCACGGCAAAGGAGCTCCTTCTGTACAGTAGTCAATTCCAATGGGGTTAAGTTGATTATTGTTGTTTCGGGATCGATGTTAACTTGGCCGTAACGTTTCCTTCTGAGCTAGTTATATGTCTTGTCATGTTTGGTAATAAGTTTTATTCGTTTTTTCTGGTCGTTCTCAGAAAGGAGCACTGAGAAACGGAGGAAGTCATGAGATGACAAAAATGTACGTGCACGATCATACAAAGACCTAAACTGGGAACGAGACTTGCACACCGTGTCACCGGACCTGGCAATCTCATCCTTCATGAAAACGCGTTCAATGTTCAACGTGTGGTATGCCTTGGCTCGGTGAACACGCTTTTCTACACCGCTAGGACATACACCATTGTCTAAACATCGTCTAAGAAAACCTACATTAAAGGCGACACTACGGTGATGAAAACGTGCTTTCAGCGTTAGATTCAGAATATCTATCTGAGGCTGGGTGTATCTCGATTTAAAATATTTGAACAAACGGCGAGGAGACAACAATTTGATAACCGCAATCAGTAATACAAGCTGGATCGACATTTGTGTACACTGTATTCATGTATTGTAAAACTGTGGAGACAATGTGCAATAAAACGATGAAAATGTGAAGAAATTGTGTAGAGAAAAAAAGGGATTCAAACAAGTTTTCGTACAACACTCGTCAGGAATCTTTGTTGTACTAAAGGACACTGAAAACAAAATTGAACTATTATAGAATATCTAAGTTAGAGAAATAACACTAAGAACAACAGCAGTGAAATTTACAAGTGTGAATTTTAACAATGAAAGCGAGAGCAATAACGAATGTGTGTACTAACACTAAACTTGCAACTGAAAAGTGAACAAAGAAGAGAAAGAAAGAAGGAACCCAATTATACTATCTAATTCACACTTGTAAATTTCACTGCTGCTGTTCTTAGTGTTATTTCTCTAACTTAGATATTCTATAATAGTTCAATTTTGTTTTCAGTGTCCTTTAGTACAACAAAGACTCCTGACGAGTGTTGTACGAAAACTTGTTTGAATCCCTTTTTTCTCTACACAATTTCTTCACATTTTCATCGTTTTATTGCACATTGTCTCCACAGTTTTACAATACATACACAAATGTCGATCCAGCTTGTATTACTGATTGCGGTTATAAAATTATTATTATTATTATTATTATTTTACTAGGGTGTTTGCCACAGACCTCTATATTTCTTTATTTCGCGCTGTACATTATTTTTGTCGGCTCGTTAATTCACAGATTTTATCGCTCCACAGGTATCCTCGACCTCAGTTACTCTCGTCATTGTGCAAAATTGTTCATTTTACTCTTGAATTGTCCTCGCTGTTACTTTCTCACAGTTGCCTCGTTCATATAATTGGGTCTGTAGCCCATGTGCACTTGCGAATTCAAACAATCATTATTGGGCCATGGTAGAAATTATCTTTGATTCTCAAGTACGCGCGCACCGATTTTTGGCGGCGCAACGATGATTTTTTTATTTCTATGCGCACTTGAAAACGGTCAATGCGAAAGGCATGAATCAGGGAGTAGTAAAATACCGGTAGTTTTCTACTCCCTGGCATGAATAATAAAATAATATTCTAATAACCTGTGACGTACATATGTGTGACCCTATCTTTGGAAATAAAAAAAGTTGTGGGAAGTAAAATAAAAAATCGCTCGCTCGCACTGATTTTCACAGGCTCATGACCTGAGAATCAACTTTATTTTTTACCATGGCCATATACATACATTCATACCCAGACAGAAGAGCGAGCAGTTGCTGTTTCAATACAATCATAATTGAGCCCTCTATCGACGCGTCGACGGTGGATGAACTTCACATGGTACACGCATTCCGGCATACAGTACAGGCAATACAGGGCGCGCCTGTGAGGTTATGTGCTCTTGCATCGTGATGGTGCAAACTTCGCTTTTTTGTACTTGCTGGTTGCTGTACTTCTACCTGAAACCATAATAATTACATGTATAAAAATTTAAAGTGTGTGTTTTGTTGTTACATTTTTATGTGACGGCGTTCCACTGATGAAAGTCACAAGAAAACGTTATGGAACTTAAGTTTCTTCATTTTTTGCTGTTGTTATGAGTGCACAATTTACCTTATATATTGCCATTTTTACAACTATTGTCTCCTCGTCGATTGCTTGGACACAAACGGGAAAGGTCTGAAGAAAAAATTGACTGTCACCACCAGGACTCGAACTTCGTACATGGCACATCCATGTTCTTCAGTGCGCGCCTCTCTCTGGACTGGTTCGAGCCCAGATCACTGATACAACTTTATTCTCAGCTTCTCGGGAGCCGCCCGTTAATTAACAGGTCGTCATGATAACATTCTCAACGTTTTAAATACTTTCTAGAATCTGAAACCAACACACAGCATTCAGTCAGAGCAGAGCTAGAGTGCCGACGTAGGGCACTACTTTGATGTCCCTGCCCTGCCCCCCCCCCCCCCCCTCAAATCAGACAGCGCACTACCATGCTCATTTTTTATTTTCGTCTTTTTCAGTTCACACAATGGAAATACGGCCACAAATCTCCCCTCTCAAACACACGCTCGAGGATCTCCTCAACACTGCACGGGACAAAAAGCTATGGCTAGACTTCATTGACAAATGTACATCGGTGTAAAAATGGCATGTACTTGTCATGTACTGGAACCTGTATACTGTAAATATACAAATTTTCGGCAGCTATTTAATTTCGGCTATATTCGGCACCGACTCAAAGCGCCTAAATTAAAACGCCGATGAAATTTTTCACAGCATTTGTCGCGCTATACCATGCCCTCTACCCCACGCCGAAAATAAATCGCCGCCGAAATTATCTTCATTATAAGCACCGCGCTTTTTAGATCTCGGGGATCGCAGGCTTGTACCACAGCATGTGTTTATGTGATACTGTGTGACGTCAAACATGCATTAACATGATCCATAGGGTTCTCCATCATAAGCCATGCGCTTATATTGGAGACTGCGCTTGTGTGGGTATCTTTGAAGCCCTCTTGGAGTGCGCTTATGATAGAGACCGGGCTTCTACAAGAGACTGCGCTTGTAATAGAGATAATACGGTAGGCACCCACCAGAACCGACCTGGGCTAACGAAAGCGGGACAGGAACGACTCACATGCAGGCACGCGCACGGCATCCACAACGCGTAGCAAGCCATAGCGTGATTTGCGAACAAGCGACCCCCAAACTGAGGCGAGCACGAGTTCTCATCATTTTCAACTTGATGACGGACAAAAAGAACAGAGCATTGGAAATGGAGCCACGCAGAGCACCCGCAAACCACCATAGGTACTTATGAGACAGCGGGCAGGCTGGCAAGGGGAAGAAAGGAGAAGAAGAGATGCAAACAAACTAAACGGCTAGTCAACAGGTCACGGTCAGAAACCGTGTGCACAATATGACACAACTGCAACAGCTGTTTCCATTGGTGAGCGGTGTGAGAGAATAGAGAGAGGGGGGGGGGCAGAAAGGTGTCCATATACGCCATGAAGCAAGCAAGAATCTAAGCGCACGCGGCACAAGGGCTCTCTACTGTAGAATGTAAAGTATGAGTATTGCGATACCGCACACACTTTTGGCAGTATCACCCTGAGCTAGGACCGGGTGAACACCTCGCTCTGACCGAGACCATTTAGCTAGTTAATGTACATAGAGAGAGAGAGAGAGAGAGAGAGAGAGACAGACGCTGGGATGGCTGCAACACACGCACACACACACACACACACACACACACACACACACACACACACGCCCAGTACGCTTGTGGTTGTGTACCTCCTTCAGAGCGGGTCTTGATATGGTGCTGAATTACTTCTCCCTTATAGCTGAGCAGAACGAAACATAAGAGGCAGTGCAGTGCAATTTAAGTGACAATCAATCCAAAACCTGAACCAGCAGTTAGTGAGGCTCCATACCCAGGTACGTATCCTGTCTCCTGGTGTGTGTATGAGAGTGAGAGAGAGAGAGCGAGAGCGAGAGAGAGAGAGAGAGAGAGAGAGAGAGAGAGAGTGAGAGAGAGAGAGAGAGAGAGAGAGTGTGTGTGTGTGTGTGTGTGTGTGTGTGTGAGAGAGAGAGAGAGAGAGAGAGAGGGAGTGAGTGACAGAGAGAGAGAGAGAGAGAGTGTGTGTGCGTCAAAGAGGGAGAGAGAGTGGATGAGAGACAGAGTGAGAGAGAGAGAGAGAGTGTGTGTGTGTGTGTGTGTGTGTGTGTGTGTGTGTGTGTGTGTGTGTGAGAGAGAGAGAGAGAGAGGCAGAGGGAGAGAAAGAGACAAACAGACAGAGAGACAGACAGAGAGAGACAGACAGGCAGAGAGAGAGAGAGAAGAAAGAGATAGAGATACTTCCTCCGCGTCATCGAAATTGTCGCAGTTTGACTAGTGACTTGTCACTTGTTACTGACAACTCCATAAGCTAAGCCATTCAAAACTTATTACACAATATGATAGTCTGAAGACTAGAGTAACGTTCCAGAACGGTTGGACTGAGGGTTTTCATGCAGAGATGAAGTCCTCGTCGTCGCTGATGTCAATGGACGCAAAAATATCGTTCCGAAATATTTCAAGGAAGGTTGAAAGTTGGTCGCGCCTCATCTCAAACGCTTTGACTTTCTCCACAGGACAAGAGCTGCTGTGCTTGTCGTCTGCTAGCTCTGGATGATTTCTACTTCACCACCAACGAAGCCTAGTAAGAATACACGATCGTTGCGAGGTCGGTTGATTACCGTCGGCGGAATCACCTCGATCTTGAAATGAACTTATTTTAGCCGTGGCATGCCCATTTATTTTAGCTGTTTGGTCACAGCTCATGCAGTTCAGGTAAGTGTACTATCGCGTCCAGCGCGCCCTGTTTTTCAGCATCACTGGTGTACCATGGTACGGCACCTGCGCGTGCATCACTAGCACTACGTGTAGAGTCTACACGGCTCTTGCAGGTACAATCATGTACTGAGTGTCTCAGCCAGAGCGACAAATTTTATCGCTGTTGCAGGCATTTAGTTTGCTGACCCCTCGATGTTTCTCCAAGCGCTGCCACTTGTTCCACGAAGTCATTCTCACCCCAGCTAAGGTAAAACAGTGATGAGGCTTGAGTGAATGGCCATAAGCACGAGAAATGTGCAGGCTGCAACGCCTGACTGATCTCCGCGAGTCGAAATTACCATCGCAGCGACATCAGCGAAGAAAGTGCGTCTAGTTCAAAAATTCCAGCTTCCAATAACAGAAAATAGAACTTTACCGTCACCCTATACTGATGACTATCGCCTGTATCCCATTCTCTGCCTCTGGTATGAGTGCTGGTGAGTAAATACCCCGTTTTATATCAAAAGTCAAACTGCGACAATTTCGATGACGCGGAGGAAGTAGAGACATAGAGATATAGATAGATAGATAGATAGATAGACGAAACTGCATGCTGTCCGCAGATTGAGTAGAGAGATAGATAGATACTGTAAAGCGTGATATTTTCGCGGCTAGTTCGTGTTTTCAGAATCCGGACAGGTCTGCGAGGTTTAATTTTGCGATTGCAGAATGGCATTCTTGCTAAACCGGTGGCATTCTTGCTAAACCTTTCATGAATCTCCTTTTCGCGCTGTCTAAATTTCGCGGTCATTTCCACGGTCGCGGAATAATTTCATGGTTTACAGTAGATAGATAGATACTTCCTCCGCTAGCAAAATACTTCGTTGCATTTTTACAGTTCAGTCCAAAGCATTCTATGGCTACCAAAACACTTCGCAAAGTGGAAAACAAAGCAGCATATGAGAGATAGTTATTTACAGATGCCACATAGCTCGTTTCAAAGCAGTCCAGCTTCATTCTTCGTCTAAATTTGATGACGACTCGCTCCTTGATGACTTCGAGTCGGCATCCTCGCTGATTTTCGCTGCCAGCTTGTGTCCTGCATCCTTTTCAAGTTGCCGAGACACGATTTGATCGTGGAGATTGCCAAGTTCTTCGCTTGAACTGTGAGCTTGATGACCTCCACGGCTGTGCTGGTAGTTGTCTCTGCCGCTCAGAACTCTCCAGAACGTCATGGAAAGAGCCATACGAGCACAACCAAACGCTCCTCATCTTGACAGCGGAGGACGCGTGCCAGCACATTTCCACAGCCTATAGAAGCTCCTTACTGGTCTCCTTTTCCACGACTGACACGTCTGTTTTCAGGCTGTGGAAGAACGCCAAGTCGTCGACGTTGAGATTAGGACTTTGCGCAGGCTGAACAACAACCTGAATGTCGGATCGTTTTGCTTTCCTCTGCACCGCAAGCACACGTGCATTGATTTATTGTGGCTGTGTGCGGACGCGTACCATCGTGCTCGTACAGCAGTGGCTGGCCGGCTTCTGCATGAATTCTGGGCACTTCAAGCCATGCAGTCTTTCAAACTGTTCCGCATTTCCGTATTTCGGTGTCATGCACCTGGGTTGTGTTCTGGTAACATCCCGTCAAGAAACGGTTATGCTTCGGCAATTTTTCAAGTACTGCACACTTTTCGGAGGTTGAAATGCCTGTCAGAACAAAGGACGATACTGCGGCTACCCTATTTAGGGGATAGATCAATGACATGTTTGTCTAATGGCGACAGAAAGATCATGACAAGAACACAAAAAAACGCAACGAAGTTTTACTTAACGGAAAGTAGATAGATAGAGAGAGAGAGAGAGAGAGAGAGAGAGAGAGAGATAGATAGAGAAAGAGAAAGAAAGAGAGAGAAAGAGAGAGAGAGAGAGAGAGAGAGAGAGAGAGAGAGAGAGAGAGAGAATCTTGTCCCATTTTCTAGCCCACCTCCGTGTGAATGCCCATGGTGAAAGCATAGACCCAGCACACAGTGCAGTGCATTTACAGCTCCATGTGTATGTACCGTACTCTAGTATAACATATTGATGGCCGTGTTTTCCACCTTTACTAGTGTTTCTGCCCAGGGCCTTATTACGGGCTTTTCTGCGCAGGGCCTTATTCCAGGCTTTTACGGTAGATAGATAGTCACAGATGTTGAAGGTGGGAGGAGGCAGGCGCGGATAGATAGAGACATCCAGATGGACAGCTATGTAAGTGGGGAGGGGGGGGGGGCAAGGAGTAAAGGAGTGTGAGCGAGGTATGACAAGGCTGATGCAGAGCTAGACAGATGAGCAGAACCTGGGACACCTGGGACACTTACTTGAGCAGACGACGGTGATCTGAGCTCCGGCGGGCAGACCATCAAGCTCTTCAAGGGCACGGGTCGTCGAGTACTTGGCCCACCCATTGTAGGGTGGTTGTCCTTGGTGAAGACGCCAGGAATAGTGCACAGGTAGGATGATATAGTCTTTGTTTATCGCTTGTAGATGGCCATCCAGATATTTGTTAACAGGATCTGACATATTAGACCAATGGTTGTACCATTCGATCTCAAAAAGGGTTGTTTTTTTTCCTTTGCACAAGTTGCTGTTCCTAGCTGCAGACGTATTGCTAGGTGTTCCTTGAGCAAGGAAGACTGTTGACATGTATACTCCATAACCTATAGTATCCAATTCAAATTCCTCTGTAGAATGTTCAGAATAAATGCACAGAAGAGTCATTAAAATCTCACTGTTTGGTGTGGATAGTGGCAGCGCTGATAAAAGGCGATGGCTTGTCGTGGGTGGTGGCGTTGTTCAATGGTGTGCCACAAACACCACCACGAACACCACCACGGACACCACCACGAACACCACCACGTACACCACCACGAACACCACCACGAACACCACCACGAACACCACCACGAACACCACCACGAACACCACCACGAACACCACCACGAACACCACCACGAACACCACCACGAACACCACCACGAACACCACCACGAACACCACCACGAACACCACCACGAACACCACCACGAACACCACCACGACGAACACCACCACGACGAACACCACCACGACGAACACCACCACGACGAACACCACCACGAACACCACCACGAACACCACCACGAACACCACCACAAACAGCAGCACTACCCACCACAACCCATCACGTCTACGCCCATCACCGACGAATCATTTCTCACCACAACATTTTCTCTCATAATTCGCCGTACGTGTGAAGCAATGTTAATCCGTGATAGGCGTCGAAGTGTGAACAGGGGACGTGGCTGTCTTAAAATTGTTTGAGAAATTCTCAATCGAAAGCACTTCTGCAGAGCAATTTCTTCTGTTCTGCCAACAGCTTGCACTAAAGAAAGTTCAGTTCAACTCATCGAGTACCGGTGCTCACAGTCAGTCTTTCCTTCAGACTTTTCCGTTTGCATCTTTCCCTCAAACCAGTGAATATTTTCGTGAGACACAAGGAGCTGGGCCATAGCGAGGGCGCGAAGAGGAGACAAAACAAACACTGATACGCATACGAACTCGGATGCGCATATGAAGACCTACAGCGGGGACAAGACGAGAAAGTGCGTATACAACGGGGACAGAAGACGGTGTAGCCGCATGTACACAGGAGTCAAAGACAGCGCAGCAGCGTGTACCACGGTTCAGCAGCATGTACTTCTTCCGCGTCATCGAAATTGTCGCAGTTTGACTTTTGATATAAAACGGGGTATTTACTCACCAGCACTCGTACCACAGGTAAGGAATCGGACATAGGCGATGGTCATCAGTATAGGGTGACGGCAAAGTTCTATTTTCTGTTATTGGAAGCTGGAATTTTTGAACTAGACGCAATTTCTTCACCGATGTCGCTGCGATGGTAATTTCGACTCGGTGAGATCAGTCAGGCGTTGCAGCCTGCACATTTCTCGTGCGTATGGCCATTCACTCAAGCCTCATCACTGTTTTACCTTAGCTGGGGTGAGAATGACTTCGTGGAACAAGTGGCAGCGCTTGGAGAAACATCGAGGGGTCAGCAAACTAAATGCCTGCAACAGCGATAAATTTGTCGCTCTGGCCGAGACACTCAGTACATGATTGTACCTGCAAGAGCCGTGTAGACTCTACATGTAGTGCTAGTGATGCACGCGCAGGTGCCGTACCATGGTATACCAGTGAATCAGGGCCGGGCAGTGATGCTGAAAAAGAGGGCGCGCTGGACGTGATAGTACACTTACCTGCATGAGCTGTGACCACACAGCTAAAATAAATGGGCATGCCACGGCTAAAAAATGTTCATTTCAAGATCGAGGTGATTCCGCCGACGGTAATCAACTGACCTCGCAACGATCGTGTATTCTTACTAGGCTTCGTTGGTGGTGAAGTAGAAATCATCCAGAGCTAGCAGACGACAAGCATAGCAGCTCTTGTCCTGTGGAGAAAGTCAAAGCGTTTGAGATGAGGCGCGACCAACTTTCAACCTTCCTTGAAATATTTCGGAACGATATTTTTGCGTCCATTGACATCAGCGACGACAAGGACTTCATCTCTGCATGAAAACTCTCAGTCCAACTGTCCTGGAACGTTACTCTAGGCTTCAGACTATCATACTGTGTAATAAGTTTTGAATGGCCTAGCTTATGGAGTTGTCAGTAACAAGTGACAAGTCACTAGTCAAACTGCGACAATTTCGATGACGCGGAGGAAGTACAACAAAGAGACACAAACGCAGCAGCATGTCCGACAAAGAGACACACACGCAGCAACATGTATGACAAAGAGACACAAATGCAGCAGTGTGCACGACGACGAGCTCTAAGCGCAGCAGCATGTACATCGAAGAACTACAAGCGCAGCCGCATGTACAAGACAACCATATTGCAAAGTTGCAAACACGAAGGAAGGCTAACTCACCAGTCTCGGTTGCTGTGTGGCAAAACCAAAAGGAGCACACAAACAAGCACATGCGCATATGCACACACACACACACACACACACGCACACACACACGCACACACAAACACACAGAAATGTTGTATCATATCTTATCACGAGATTAGAAGCGGTGAGGCCTCCTGCAGTTTCATACAGAATTACAGATGGAGCGGACTCGCTCCCTTCTATTTACACTGCAACGTTCGAACACATTTTCGTAGTTAAAACAACGTTTCGGCATATAGCCCTCATCAGGTTTGCAATGATGTGCACTCTACAAAGGAGCAGCAAATATACTGTGCCGTGCTGTGTTTGCGCTAAATGTGTCAGCTACAAAGGTGGCGAAAGGGATTGGTGATATATTAATATCCAGATACGATATATTCACAGTAGTGCCCAGCCAGCATTAGTGTTTACTTGCGGCCGCAAGTTGCGGATTTCAACAGCTTCTCGCAGTTGAAATCTTATCACTCTTCTATATCGACCTCCACTAATTCTCGTGATCCTTGACTGGTCCTATATTACCCATATCGCCGCAATATCGACCGCTTATATCGACCACTTGTATCGACCACTTAGGCGTTGTAATCTTTTGACTTT